AAAATGTTGGTAAGAAATTCTCGTGAAATATTGAAATATTATAGGCTCGACGGCGGTGATTATTCTGAGAAAGGAAAACATTAGGAAATACTGTAAAAATAACCATTCAAATTATTTACCGCAACTTTGTCAAAAGAAGTTTGGCGTATATTTTGTTTTAAATCCATCAAAACACAAATTCAAATTCATGTTTATAAATTTATTTGCCAGAAATGATTAATTACAGAGATTTCACGAAATGTAATCTTATTTCTTGAAATCCCTTATACCATTTCTAGTTCACTTAATTTTAGAACCCAATGGATGAGAGAATGTAATTATTTTATAAAATTACTGCCATTAAATAATGCAGTGCATGTTTGCTGTTAGCATTTCTGGTTTCAGTACCACCTAACCTGAATCAAAGCATGCATAAAAACAAAGTAACAGTGCTGGAGAACGAGCATATCGAGTTAGGTTGCCCAATATCAGGTGTACCGGAGCCAGATATTGCTTGGCTTGTTAATGGACAACTTCTTGAGGAAGGCATCACAAAACGAGGTGTAATCTTGGCAGCAGGAGGCAAATCGGTAAATTTCAAGTTTTAGATTGTCATTACAATTAACTTTGATTTTGTGGTTTTGTGATGGTTTTGTTTTGGAAGTATCAAATCCTGTAAGAAACGGAATGTTTTCATGATTAAAAATACTGTAAATTGCAAATAGTCGTAAAAGAGTAATTACTTTAATGATATAATTATCATTTTTTCTTTTTCAATAAACAAATTAGATAAAGTGGATATGATTATTCGACTCCACTCAGAATTTCAATCTCCAAGCAATCAGCAATATCGGCTGCAAATGCTTTCATTTGGACGTCGCTGGGTCATACTCGACATTTGCAATCGTTAAGTCACACTTGATGTGATATACATTTCATATCATATCCCTGGAGTATGATAACTGATAAGATATTCAGAATCTCTGTAACTAGTTTCAGGTAATAATAGAATCTGCACAAATGGAACATGAAGGAATCTACACTTGCGTTGGAACAAACAAAGGTGGCAGTTTGGATGTCGATGTTCATCTCACTGTTCTCGGTAAGGTTCTTTTTCTGAATACTTCATATTTCGTAGAAATTACAGATCGCTTTTAATATTCGAACAGCACTTTAAAGAGTGCTTACTTTTAGGTTTGTAAAACTTTTTGTTGTTTTTTTTTGCCTTTTCTAATTTACTCTAACAATTTTTAAAATTTCACTTAACTATTTTAAAGATAAATTATATCAAAAATACTTAATGTTGCGCTTATCAGAAGTTCTCTCAGATTCTTTCTGCTTCTTATCACTATCATTTCATGTTCCAGAAAGAAATGTTATTATTTCAAAAGAAATTGAGACTTTTTGTAAGTTCAAAGAACTCATTCATGAATTTTTCAGTTTCTTCCACCATATCATTGGAAAAAAAAACTGATGCTCCGAGAGAAGGGTTGATGGACGGGAAAAAAAAATTGGAGAAAGGGAGAGGAAGAGGGGGAGAGAAAGAGAGAGAGAGAGAGAGAGGAGGAGAGACAAACCTCTAGTTTAGTTATTT